GTACAGTATATATCGTAAATCAAATCCTATAGCGTCGTGTAAAAAAGAATCAAATACGGCGTCCCACTTTTTTCGTGAATCGGATATTTATTTACCGTTCGACAAAACCGCGATAAAAACATTCAATTTCATCAGTCGACTTACGTTACTTTTAATGCGCAAATCAGTCATAAGCCATCAATTAATGACTATTGTCATGATTGTTGATAAATACACAGTTATAGTGAAAGTGACTGCACTATATTTCTTTCATAAAATTTACGGGTGTAGTTATAAAGTATAACAAAAATGTTATATTATAATAGGGCCGGGCCATTGCTTGATACGAATATTAAGTCTGAATAAAACAACTATCGGCTCGAAATAAAAACAGGCCAATTGCGAGTCGGACTCGCGCACGAAGGGTTCCGTTATCTATAAAAACGGCAAAAAAAATCATGTGTAATGTACGGGAGCCCCATTTAAATATTTTCTATTGTTTTTTTTTACTATTTGTTGGTGTAACGGCAACAGAAATACATCATCTGTGAAAATTTCAACTGTCTAACTATCACGGTTCAGTTCGAGTCTTAGTAATAGGGTGCCGTTTTAACCTTTGAGTACGGAACCCTAAAAAGTAACGCACGTACTTTTACACCAAGAAACTAATGACATCTATCAAAGCTGCTGATAAAGGTAGAAGTATTTATAATTTTAAATCAATTATTATCAGTGGCGTTATAGACCGCAAAAGATAAATTTATCTTTATTGATCATTAAATGAATGACAAGATTAATAAATAATTTGAGACTCATTCAAAACATTATTCTCATAAGATGAATATATTTTCTTATTATATCATAAATCAGTGTTATATAACTAAGTATTGTGTTATCAACGTTTACTGGACTTAAATTAAGTAGCTGAGCTAAACAGATGTGACAACGAAAAATTTCCGCCAAGCTTCCGCTTTGCCAACGCAGCTGTGTACGGTGGATAACTCAGTCATTAATTCGAAATCTTTGTCACTGACGGACTTCACCTACAAAAAAAACTTTCTAAAAACAAACTATAACCGATTTAACTAAATAAATGTATACACGAAAGCGGTGTACATTAATACGTGACAAATGACAAAACATTAAAAGCTCTTTCGTTTAACGTGTTTATGTGCATATACATTTTAGAACATTTATGTATACTAGTGGTCGCCCAGTGGTCGATTCGACCACAATTAATTATACATGGTAGTTTGGTGTAATGTATTTTTTTAAATATTAGCATTCCAGAGGAGTGCTCCTCTATATATAAACTATAAGTGTGGGAATTTTCATACTCCTCCATCCGCGCAAATTTCGTAAAAAGGGGTACAAGATTTTTGATTCACGTATTAATATAGATTGTATGCCAAACACATTGTATGTGGAATGCTTGCATATAATGTGTACTACGAATGCGTTGTTTTGTAATGCACATAAAAAATTTTGGTTCATTATATTTTTTCTCTCTTTTTTCCGAATACATTCGTTGCAGTTTTAATCCTTGCCTATTGTCCTAGCCGCAGCCAAAACGTATTCATGTAAATTTACTAGGCTGTGTATAACCGAGCTCTGATAACGACGCCATATGCAATATCCTATATGTGAAAAATTGTCGAGCAAGCGAGCCGGCGGTTCATCTGATGTTAAGTTACCTTGGCTTATGGACATCTTAAGTTGCTGATTAGGTACCTTTTAAATAAGTGGGTCTCGGTTTCTCTTCATGGACTACAATCATAGAGCATAAAATATTTAAACTTCATGCAGGTCTTCTGCGAGGCCGTGTCATTTTCCCGGACGAGCCTGCCCATTCGTGCAACAGTGGAAGCTATTGCGTGGTGCTATCACAGTCAAGGTCCATAAGATTTCGATTTTAAATTAAGTTAATTACTACCGACAAAATTAATCTATAGTCTATAAAGGCGTGAAAACTTGTTACAGATCTGTTTCTAATGTCATCGTACCCCTTTCACTGGGAACGATCACTTTCTTCTAGAAAACTCTTAGCAGCTCACCGTGTAATACCTAAGTTACTTCTAGTCCCTTTTCAATAGTTCCCGTGAAAGAAACTCGCCATAAAAAGACGCCTTTCCTCATTCGCTCGGCTTTATGCAGTGTCGCGTACAATGGCTCTCATTCCACAACACACGAGGATGGTGAGACTTTGTACGCTTTTTTTTTCCACCCGGCTCATTTGCCTTTGTTTAAAGAGTAGTTGCATATGGGAACCGAGCATTTCTGCCCGCATAATGTTCAGAACTTTTACCATATTGTTCCGTAATTAGCTGTCAATGATACTTGTAAGTTTAGTTCGAGTTCGAAGGCGGTGTTTCTAATTAAATTAGTTGTTGTATTAACTAATGTTAACACTTTCAGTCCCGAGACTAATAAAGCATCATCGAACGCAGAACCGGTGGGCTAGCCAGAGCCAGAACGGGTTTAACTAAATAAGTCTTTAGTAATAATTCTTTTAAATGAGCCAAAAACAAAGCATACAAATATCATATTATCGATTACAGGGATCGAATATGACTTGACGAATATAACTTAATTTCTTTCCATTAATTGAATGTACTGTATGCGTATTAGTGTGATTTACTTTAATATATTAATGCATATTTTATTGCATAAAGAAGTTGTGTTTGAAACCTGATGATATACAAGTATACATTTATCATTTCTAATGTTACCGTAACTCTTTTTCACGACTCACTACTGACGGACTTGCATCGCTTGTCAATGATGACAATACAATCGGCCGCGAAAGGCAAACCATAATTAGCTATTAGCTAGCGGCTTTAGACATGTGGATCTCTTAAAGCAATTGACTTGCAAATGGAAAACAATATTTTATATTGGGGTCACATTTAAACAGCGAGATAAAGATTTCCTAAACTAGATTTGTGTCATTCTTAGAATACGTAGCAATTACTTTAAAAACTATTCAGAGTACAGGTTTTTTCTATGTAAGAAGCGAAAAGGCGGTCCACCTGATGTTTAAAGTTGCCATCTTTGTAATTATAAAAGGTTCGGAAATTATAACGCATAGGCAGCGCTTGTTTTCCGTCCGTGAGTAAACGATGTCAACGAACTCGTTGATTTTCGGAACAAAGCCGCGGAGGCTGATAGCTGAAGCCGTCACCGCTGACGCTAATGCCGTAAAGATAAGTCGGCTAATCCAGTTAATACAAAGTAATTTGTAACTTGTTGCGTTTTTATCGTACGTTGTGTTTGTTAGATGCAGCCGCAAAGGCTGGAAATCTCTACAGGTGGGGTGACTAATGCTACTATTTTTACAGTATCCATATCTCTTCACGAAAAAAGGACTTCTCTTTTGACAACAACACTCCTATATGTATATGTCCCAACAGTGCTACACTACACATATCATAGGCTGTTACTTTACTTTTTAATCTGCTTACCGTACGTTTACATGTGGACTTAAAGAAGTGATACTCGATTTTGAGCTTGTTATCAAAATTTTACTGTAACTTTGTAATAAAATGACAAATTTTTGCTTAATAAATATACATATAAAAATATTCCAACGAATTAAGGCTGGGCCGTTGTTTATCAAATGCCATACTATTAGAGCATGGCATTTGTTACACAACCCCGAAAAGGGCTTACATCACGTTGTATCGACATAATATACTTGACAGCGCACACGTCAAACAAATCACATGCAACGTTAACTGTTTGCTTGAGCAGTAGAACTTTATCTGCGTTTGAGAATCATTGGTCAACTTTCGCGTATTAAGCAACAACTGTTGAAAAATTATGATTAAAGACGTTTTTAAGAAAGATTTAACTGTACTATTTATTGAAAGACTCAATTTATTAAGAAATTTCGATACGACAGTGTATTTGGTATCTCTTTAGTTTACACAACGAAAAACTCGTTAACGAACACCAATTTAACAGAATCAAAGACCTAAATCCGGAGCGGATATTTATGGATTTCTTATTAACATTTGTCCATTATCACAACAACCGATCCTGCCCGCCTAAGCCCACCTTGGAAACTGCACCAAGTAAATTATTACATTGTTTAGAGCAAAGTAGTAGAATTCATGAGGATTTCTTTTTGCAACATTGCTTAAGTTAGCGTTGTTACACAACACAATAAAGAAACGATTTGTGGATCAAAATCATGAAGTGTTATTAATTAAAAAATGTGAAATAACTACTTTCAACAATGAAAACAAAATTGTATACTTAAATCTTAATTCCGGAATAGGTAATCCTCAACTGAACTGTAACTGTGGTTGTTATAAAATTATAAAAGCATTAGCATACATTTTCACTCGTTGAAGTTGAAATAGAAAAAAAGAATTGAAGTCATAAACACCATTCAACACGGGCGCGAGATTACGTTCATCATGCCAGCGGTTTATAGAAAGCAGCTCTTCATGGCGTACAATACGAACGGAAAATATCTAAAAGGAGAAACAAAATTTAGCACCACATTGACATTGATCTTCGACCGAAATGAAGCGAAAGGTTTTAAGAATTTTCTTTGTGGAATCGATGTGAAAAATGGTCAAATATTTGTTAATGTCGTGCGATAAGAACTGGCATGTATCCTTATCGCCTTAGAATGGTGTATCATAAAAAAATGTTGGTTCCACACATGTCATAGCGTTAATGCCGTGAACATATAAAGCAACATCTATGCGTATATACTGACAAATTACCCATTAATTACGACTTAGTGAACTTATAAACTTTTTGTTCAGAGAACGCAAAAAAACAATTTCCTCCCGCGAAGCCTTATCGAAACACACTGAATTCGGCTTTATGTCTCAAAGTTAAGGAGCAGTTTCGTTAAAAACGAAGTTTCGATAAACGAAAGAAACTGGCATGCACGAAATATAACACGAAATGTTAAACGGTCAAAACAACACGCTACTTTGTAAGGCGAGTCGTTGGAATAGCATATAATTTCACAATTGGCGCTATAGCATCTTTTATACTTATACCTTATCGCTACCACAGACGCAGACGTAGTTGGGGTTGCAATAAGAGCAGTCACACTCGGCGCATTCGCTCCAGAAAATCTCGCCGTTGCAGCCGAGACGGCCCCCCGTTTCCACGTCCACCCACGTCGCCCGCTTCATCAGGACGACCTTCGGCACTGAAGCTACGTTTCAAACCACTCAAACTCGAATCCATCACCAATTCAAACTTGTCTTAAATGCACCTCGTGTCCGAATTATCACTAGAAATGTTTACACGTTAAATCACATTGACCTTTCAATTGAAGGAGGGTCGATTAATAAGTAGTGCGAGGGAGTCACGATTGACAAGTACCAGGAGAGAAGGAGCGATAAAGAGATCGCGCAAGCGTGGCGGCAGGACCGCCGCGCTACGGCTCATCGGACAGACTGTGCTCCGCACACAATTCCGCCACGCTCGCCGACACCTCAAGTAGGAAATCCTCCGGCAAGCATCAAGAGCGCGTAATCGAAACGCGAGAAACATTTAATACGAACCTCCAAGCAGTTTTCAACATCTCAAAGGCCTATTCAAGAACTTTGCAATTTTGTAGATAACGAATGAACTGAATCATTTTGGGACAAATGAAACACCAGCGTGATGGAGGAAGGCCTCAGGTAAATTAATACGATTTAACTTCAGTTAATTATATGAAATGAATAAGCTATTCAATCATACTGTTTACAATCATCGTTTTATTATTCGTATATACTTAACTTCTAATAAGCATTATCACCCATTGTGACGAAACGACTGGAGCAACCAAACAAAAAGCTGACATAACACCAAACAGAATGGCACCGTAATACGAATAATTACAATCGTCGGAGAGCGTGGTTAAAGACGTCCATTCAACACTTGCACACATTGTTGGTAAATATCCAGAACAAACACGCATTCTTTTGTTGCTATGAAGATCCGACGACGTCTAATCATCTCTGTTAGTAACGCTCAAATTACACGTGACGGAACGAGCCGTGAAACAGTAATAAATACACTCATTACATTATTATATTCACGCTTAGGTAATTATATTACCCAACCAGAAACTTTCTTCAGCGCTGCAAATAGTAGCTAAGAAGAACCACACCTTTTGTTACATATTATCTTTGAATGCGGAATAAATTACTGCTAAAAATAATTGTATCCGAACGGCTATGTTAAATTATAGATAATCCAATAGTGGGTACCACTATCAGCATTATAAATAAAACATTTGTCGTTATAATGAGATTTCTATAATTCTTTATTATCCGTCGTGGCTTGTGGGTGGTTACTGAATATAAGAAATTAATCAAAATATAAAAACACGAATTACTAGTACCACATTTATGACATGTCTTGAATGTTTGAATCAACTACTGACGGCAACTAGACTTTCACTGTGTCATCGCCGTCACCGCGAGTTTTACAATAAGAGACAATGGTGTTCTTTTAAAATGTGTGTTGAAAATGCATTGTGTGTGCATTACAGAAGTTATAATCGTGTTAACAGAAAAACAATTTTATCTTTTAAGTTTACGATGGCACTGATACAAGCAATAATATAACTTTAATTTAAATGTCATTTTGTATTTCATTGCGTTTATTGGCTTTTTTTTTGCAGTGACAATAAAAACAGTGTACTACAGAACATAAAATGACAAAAAGTGTACTGCAAATACCGAAGTATTTATATTAGTCTTGATTTTGAAGACCACGCATGAGTGTATAGTTCTCCTTTCTGAACACGTATAATTGAATCGATCAAATTTGGCAGTTATGGCATAGATGACAAAGTCAACAGTTTCGTACACATCGAGCAAATTGATCGCTTAAATCTGAATCGAATATTCCACTTTACTTGGCTAATATCATATCGGTATGCCTAATATTCTATCCGAGATTACTGCCAATACAGTTTTCAGTTATATGTCATCATAACGATGACTGTAACTGAAAACTGTGTATTCAATATATCTTTCAATTGGTTAAAAATCAAGATGTGGAAAAGATAAGGCAGAAATCTTTAATCATTGAGATATAACGCTTAATATTAAAAAAAAGATATTGATGAAACTAGTATAATATATAAATACAGAATACAGAACAAAAGACAAATAGGCACTTGTGCCAGGCTGTTCGCACTTAAGGTCGGAACAATCTCGTACAGTAGGGCAATTCCGCGATCCAATGTGAACCATTGAGTAAATGCCCACAACACTTTCCGAGGTCTCTTTTCGGGTCGTAAACGCACGTGATAAGAATGCAATCACAAAAATCGGCACAAGGATCTGTGGACTCGTCGCAGAGACTGTTAAATAGAAATGAGGAAAACAGCACACGCGAATTTGAATATTTCTCTCTTTTGACGCTGCGCAATTGACCTATAAATACGGATTCAATATTATATTGAAATAATATTTCCATTGTATTTATTTATTTGTTTAAAAACTTTGTGCACAATAGCCTACAATGGCGGACTTAACACTATTAGGTGTTTTCTACCAACTCTGTCAACCGACAAATAAGTAGAGAAAATAAGGAGGTGCGAAAGAGACACATTTAAATAACTGGCAGATATTAATAACTTTTAATGTATTTCGTTCACACAAAATTTGCACCCATGACCTGAGTAAGGGAAAAAATGATTTCGCGACAATTTATTCATTTCACAAGGCGATTGTATTGCATAAACATCATGTTAGAATATTTTTTTAGTCTATCTATTGGGCACGGAAATCGGCAGATGATTAAATCTTGATTATGTGTTCGAAAATTGTTGCATTCGTAATGATGCATATCATCATATTCACTGGGAACTTGTTTTCTATCTGAGATGCGGTAATTTAAAATGCATTATGTTAGTTTGGCTTACTGTACCCCTACTTTTGGTTTACTTTTGGTTTTATTACTATCTAACGTATGTACATTTTCGTCAATTTATTCTCTTTTTATTAATGTGGCATCTATTATGAACACTTCTTAGTTTCGTGTTATTACTTTAAAATATATTACTTTCATTCTGAATGAGGGCTCCATGCCGCATGCCAGGGCTCTTAGCCATTTCTGTTGAACTCTTGCATGAGACACTCTTCAGTTAGAGTCCGATGCGAGTATTTCTCCTCTATTTTATCCTTTCATTTATGGGATTACTTACCTTAGACTTATCAGCTAAATCAATGGAGCGAGATTAGTTTACAGTCGCATCTGAATCAACAGCTCGCTTAGCTATAACTGCGACAAATATTAATTAGAAGAATGCGGCAACGAAAGTACAAGACTGTGTTACGAAGTACTCTAGCTAAATGCGGTAAAGTGAGATCATAAGCCCTTGTAAGGTACCGGTTATGTTTGCGCTTGCTGATGTAACATTTGCGACTTACACCCGGCTTGTACGCCATAGTGGTCCATACCCAGTTTTCCGCTAAACAAACGGAAATCGAATGCGTAATAGGTTTCACCTATAAGTCGAAACGATACGCATAAAAATCGCAAAGCGTTAATGATTTCCCGTCTCCTTTCTCTACCATCACAATGTTAGTCTAGTTTTTAACGCGTATCCCCAATACCTATCAATTAATTAGACTAGTCTTCCCTAAGCAACAATTTATTTTCTTTATTCCATTTTTACATATTTTTTATGCAAACAAAAATAAATAGCACGAGAAGTCTCCGACTATTTGCACACATATTTTATGTCTCAAATTGCCAGGCGAACATGTGGTTCATATCATATTTCACTGCTATGGGCACCTGAAGTGTTAAAGATGCGTTGCCATAACACTATGGAGCTCGGTAACTTCACTCAACAGACAAAAAGTATAATACTTTCACTCCACGCTGGTCTTCCATTAGACTGTTGTATTTTTATGAATTTTTATATAAAATACATATAAAAATTCATAAAAATCGATCAAGCCGTTTCGGAGGAGTAAGGGAACTAACATTGTGACACGAAAATTTCATATATATAGAAGATATACTGATTTCTTGTTCCATGTAATGATGCCTTTACAAGAGTACTAAAAATTGTTCAATAATACTATTTTACGGACTTTATTATGACTGTATAGTATAAAACAAAGTCGTGCCGCTATCTGTCTGTCCCTGTGTTTATTGTATGCTTAGATCACAATTGACGTCATGACGTCAGCTTAGAACCTTTGTTAAAACTTTTGGTATGTTCGTTGCATAAAATGTTTACAGTATCTCAAGAAATAGCTGTGTTAGTATAATTGGATTTTATATTGAATAAAAATCCATTTCAAGTAATATTTTCATTATTTACAAATGATCTGAGATTATCTCGACCAATTGCCTTAGCGGATAGATAACCTATCTATTAGTCTAAAGGGGTTCTACACCAACTTCTAGAAAACATATTGTGTAATGTGCAATGTACTCGTATATGTGTAATCATAGTGTTTGTATAAAATGTATTTATTAACAATGGAAAACTTTACTCAGTACCCATAGCACAAGCATTGCTTAATAGGGAACTAGAGTCTAGACAACGTTGTGTAAAATATGTTTTGGAATATTTATTTATATTCGAGAAAACAATTATAACCGTAAAATTTTATATCGAATATCTTTTTTTTTTGGTATTCAAACGTCAAACGAATAGGAAGCGATTTGTAGGTCAGTGGCACTGCAGTCATCGACAGACACACGATCATTTGTACAGATATAAAGCATTACGATGATTGGGCGTAAATTATGGTCTCGCCGGTACGGTAATGCGTAGTCACGGGTTGAGTATAACAAAAGTGGCATTGAACTTGTTAAGATCGACAATTGATTTGGTTTTTGTGAACAAATGTTTATTTTAAACACGGTTTAACAGACATAAACACACGGGAAAACAGATATTAAATAATTTAGTTAATAATGGTAAGAAATTATTAGGTAACAAGCGGTTCTTACGTAAGAGTAAAGAGAATTGAATTTAATTGAATATAATTTATTGCACACAAGGAAATACAAGGAAGAAGAGAGTACAGTTATAATACCAAAATTACTTTATGCCTGGGCGAAAATCAAAGTATGCAAATGAAATCACACAGCTTGCTCGCAACACGTAATTGATCGAAAATCCTTGGATAAATCCATTATTTTAAGTAATTGTAGCGAAGCACTT